ATTGTGTCCGAAGTCTGGTCGGCGTATTATCTTATGTCGTCGGCTTAGTTGAGGGAGGACCTCTTGATGCTCCTAGAAAGTGGTTCCGCTTCAAGCATGTGATTGTAGGAATGATTTCTACGGAAACACTCCAGTAGAAATTTCATGGAGAGGAATTAATAATGCTCCTTAACTTGGAGCATAAGGGTATCACTGTGTTTATGTTCCAAAAGAGGCATCAAGAGGCATCTCGTTATAATCGGAAGTGCAGTGTTGTGACATGCCTAAAGCTTCCTCGTCTGCGTTTTACTTTATCCAAGCGACCCTAGTGCTGCAAGGACCGGCCGACGGATGCATTTTATGTTGCCAACAACGTTTCTTTATCTTTTCCCCATGTACTGAGGGCTGGCGGCTTGAGAATTTAGTTACGGCTCTGCATTTTGGCCATAATCGCGGTCGTGTTCCATTGACTGCGTACACGCCTTTGCTTCCGTTGTCCATACATGGACTTTGAATCGAAGGAGCTTTACGCTGGAGCATCATTTTTTATGAATACGGCCGCTGGTTAGCGATCCGTATAGCACACATAGTTTGTGGTTCCATCGCTGCCGGGGACGGCTCTAAAAACCGTGCGGCGATCAGTTTCCTTGAAAATTCCTGCTTTCTCATCTCGGTTCATCATCGGCGGTCAGTTAACTACCAATCCCAAAGTAGTACCACTTGGCAAGAGCTATTCAACCTAGAGGTCAAGGATTTGATTGTTTATGGTATTTATGTTTGTTCCAAGAAATACAGAGTCCCTCTCTTTCTCAAATTGATAGCTGCCAACAGTAACGTCGTTTCCAAGGCGCGAGTAATATCTGTACACGGAACGCAGGGACCTTGTCTTGCCCACGTTCAACACAAGACTAACATTTTCGCTTTTTTCCTTGAACGTGGATAGTCGATTCGGTGCCATTCGCAGCAAATGGGACTGACATATTGAATGATTTCGCGCATTTTACCTCAAGATCTAAATTTGAAAATACAGTTTGTGCAAGAACTGAAGCTGCTCGACCTTCCCAAGCATCGTCCCCTCGCTCTATGAGGTCTTGAAAAGTTCCTAAAAGATCCGAAGTTTTCGAGCCAATTTTGTTCAGCGCTGAGGTCCATTCTTGGATAAATGAGTATGTAAACTAGCAAAATTGTCGCACTTGGGACGAAGAGCAAGAAAGATTCAAAATTCATTTCAACCAGAAAAAAAAAACCGTTTGGAGTGATTTGTGGGCCGGTCGAATACTTCAAAAATTATGCCGGTGAGATCGTAACCCTAAATGGGTACTATAACTGTCTATTTGATAACTGAAATTGGAGCTCGTGATCGGATATTCCCACTTCGATTCAAGGCCTTTGAGAAAAACTTCACGCGTGTAATTCACCAGTGACCAGACGAAATGCTCGAACTAGTCATCGAAAATTGGGCTCAATGAGTGGACCAGCCGAGAGGTAGCGGCGGCCAACATTTGAAAGAGATAATCTTCAAAACATATATGCCAAAGAATGTTCTTTCGATTGATAATAAACATTCCGCATTTAATTTAAAGCTTCTTTATTTTTTCTTGAAAAAGTTAGGGAACCTCAAAATGGATCACCCTTTCTAAAGTATATATACAAGTTATAAGCTGGTTGAGTTGAGCCTACTTAGCCATTTCCGTCCATTTGTATATACTCTACCTGAGTTTTGAGTTATCGATCTGAAATCTTGCATACGTTCTTTTTTCACCCAGGAGCTGATCATTTGTCGAGACGACCGATATCGGACAACTATAGCATATAGCTGCCATACAAACTGATCGTTCAAAATCAAATCCTTGTATGAAAACTTTTTTATTTCACAGTGTATCTTGAGGAAATTTGGCATGGGTTGTTGCCCAAGAAAACAATGCATTCTCCGGAGAAATTGTTCAGAACGTATCACTATAGCATATAGCTCCCATACAAACCGCGCCATCAAAATCAAGTTGTTGTATGGACAACTTCTCTATTTGCGAAAAATATTGCGGCAGCGGTTAAAGCTAAAGTTTCCTCGTTTTCATTTCTTACTCACTTTCGAAAAATGCAATTTTAAAAAAATCACTCTGGCAACACCTCTAACGGCCTACACATATTTAAACCTAACTGTAATATCAAAATTGCCAATGCTTTGTGAATTTGCTTTTCAAAGAACAACGGCTCAACGGCTCAACGACTCTAGCGACATGCCAGCTGGCAAAAAATGGCAGCTAGACTGACAGACAGACAGACCGATAAGCTAAACTTGGCACGCTTGACGGCGGTATCGCCCCCAAAGGGAAAGATTATTACTTTATAAGCCATTTTATCTAATTTCGATTTATCTATTTGCATTTTTTGTTTTGCCGTTAATATTTCCCTCTCTGTAAGTGTGTGCACGTGTGTGTGTGTGTGTGTATGTATGTTAGAGTTTAGTGTTTTTTGTTGTGGCTTTTTTTGCCCACTTTGTTCTCTAAGCGCATTTAGAGCACGTGCCACACGAAGTAAATTGATTTCGCCAGTAGGTGGAAAAATAAAATTAACTCTCGCCTCGCTGTGGCCGACATAAGCGCGTGGTCAAGGCGCAAAACCAGAAGTAAATGCAAAACTTGCGAACAAAATTTTAAATTGATATATTTGTGAATATGTATATTTAGTATAAATATACAATATTATATGTATGTATGCGTTTCGCCTTCTATATCTGTTGCTTAGCTACTGACTCGCCGCTCTGGAATTCGCTACTAGCGCGGGCGGAGTCGCTTATGCCGCGCCGCCAGTGACTTTCAGTGCGGAAATGTAACCGCTTTATCGCGGACGCGATTCGTACAAAAAGCATTATTTCCAAAATTACATTCATTAAAATTGACTTGGTTCATTTGTTGATCGCATTTGTTGTTAAGCGTGTTCTTTCCATTGCCGTCATTACGGCTGTCCGTCAAAGCAGTCAGTCAATAGTCGCGTTATGCCCCCCGGCTCGATTAGTAATATTATAACAGATTACTAGATTTCGTGGCTAAGTATTCCGAGTAGCAGTTAAGATTGGCTTAACCATTAAACAATACATACTTTTTTTCTCGCGCATAGCCGAATCTTTTTAATAGCAAATTACAATATTTTCAATTTTGTTTTGCCTCAAAGTGTGGTCTGTCCATTAAATTTTTATTTCATTTTAATATTCGCGTTTAGATTTATGCGCACCCCAAAAACGGCGGCTGGTCCACTTAAGGCATGTTATGCTTTGCACCACAAATTACAGTTTTGCTTAGCGAGTGCACCAAAAGAACGCGTCAAAACTAACTAAAATGCAATTAAATAAGCTCTTTAGCTAATGATTAATGTCACAGCGGATTTAGTGTGATTGGATTGCATGAAGCAATGACCAAACCCAAGTAGACGAGGTAAACGAAGAAGTGTTGCGAAGAAGTCACTTTTTTCAAAAACCGTTTTTTTTTTTTTTTTTTTCATCAAACACATTAATTATCACAAAAAAGTACTCAGAAATTGTTAATCAAACGCAAAATATTTAATTATCATTTATATTTATTATGTTGTCTTCAAAGCAATCCCCACCAGATAAAAGGTACTTATACTAACGATTTTTCTAGTCCTCGCAACACTTTTTATAAGCAAGTTTTTAGGATGGCCTTCAGCTTCTTTAGCGAATTTGGTTTTAACCCTTCGATCGATTAAAAACCGATGATTGTTGACTTGTTTGCATGTCAAACTCAAAAACGCATTACTTATCGGCAGAATAATGGTCTCCATAAATGTAGAATCGGAATTCGCACGATCAAGCATGTCGAAAGAAACCTGTTTACGGTACTCTCTCTGAAAAAAGAAAAATTGAGCTTTATGGGGACGAGTTGAGCAAGAACGCGTTTCATGCCAAAAATATCCACCAAAATCATTCGAACGGACTCGCGAGCGGTGTCGAGCTCTCTTGCCATTTTTCTAACACTTGACTGATGATTTTCGAGCACGATATTCTTCACATTTTTTAATATTAGTTTTAATATTAATTTCAATTGTTCATAAAATTTTTTTTTTTTTTTTTTTTTTTTTTTTGCCCAGCTCTTGACCGATGCTACGACTGCTACTATGCCGGTCTCTTTCGACCAATTCAGCGATTTTATTGCAATTTTCGACGACAGGCCTTCCGGAGCGTGGCGCATTTTCGACCACCTCTACACCAGAATGAAAACGTTGAAACCATCGTTCTGCGGTGAAAATGGAAACTGTATCGGGTCCATAAACTGCACAAATTTTATTGGCGGCTTGAGATGCATTTTTGCCTTTATCGTAGTAGTACTGTAAAATATGCCGTATWWTATTCTTTTTATTTTGCTCCATGTTTGCGACGCTATAACGCACGCGCCTGAAATAAGCTTTCCAAAAAGGTATAGCGTGACCCGATGCGACGAATACAACTAGAACTACGAGCTCTCAGCGCCAACTAGCGAAAAACCGCAAGACTTTTTTGACAACCTAATATAATGTCGGTTGAAAAGGTTGAAGGTCGCCCAGAACGTGGCATGTTTTTTTGCATGGATCAGTCTACTATCAGTTTACTACTGGGTAAGCCGGCTTAGTTTGTAAACAAAATGAGAAATATGGCTGCACTGGTGAACAAGAGTGAGTCTTGATATTTTTCGATCAACTACGATATTTCAATCTTCAATCAAAGAGAGAAACCGTCTAAGAAATAATGGAAGAAAGGTCAACTATTGCTTTAAGAATGATATTAAATATATATTGTTTTTTTTTTTTTAGCTCTATTACGAATTCTTCTAAATGTAATTAAAAGAAGTTTTTTGTGGGCAAAAGTAAGAGTTTTATATATTTTATGTATACAACGACACTTGTATTGTTTTCAAAATATTTCAATCAATTATTTATCTGTTTATTTCTCCTCACTCTACCATTCTTCACTTGCCTGCACTTTACCATTTTCAACTCGATGAGAAAGCAAAGCAAAGCACAAAACATACCAAATCCCCAAACAACAAATATCAGCGAAAAATGTTCGACTTTGAGCGGTTGAAAGATAATGGAGACAGTGCGGAAGAACTGTATCTCATTGCTCAAGATGCCCTCCTCAGCGCTGTCGATGAACATTTTCTGGAAAATACCCGAATCGAAAACATTACCCAAATAACAATTAAACAGCTGCAAAAACGGTGAACCATGCGGCAAACTTATGAACATCGGCACCTGTGTCAGCTCCTCGGCGATCAGCTTGAAACGGGGTATACGCAGGAATTTCTGTTGATACATGAAAAAGTTCACTTTATCCTCTATGTAGGTGAGTATGTACGAGGTGTTCAAATCGCGCAGCAACTGATAGTCCTCCAATGGACTAACTTCAATCAAACGGTCGTAAATGATTTGCGGTATACCCGATAAGCGACTCATATAGGTGATGTCCTCCTTCGTCATTGGCAGTGAGAATTTCGTGCGCGCGATATCTTCTATGCGATTGACCTGCGGCTCATACAGCCGCGATATAAACATGCTGGCCAAACTCGTCTGATACAAACTGGTCAAAAGAAAGCTACAAGCCAACAATAAAAGGGCGCAGAAAATTTGCGCACTCGTACAGCGACTAAAGTAGTAACTCGGCTGGTAGAGTAACGAGCTGAGGCTGCGCAAAAAAGCCAAGCCAAAGTTCACGCGGCGACCGCGCAGCCAGGAGAGCAGCATTTGCGCGAGGATTGCATAGCAAAGTGCCAACATTATGAGCAACCAGAGTAGACTCGTCATAGGCTTGAGGATGTACATGTAGAGCGGCAGTGGTGCGGCGTAGGGTGCCATTAAAAATGTGCGATAATTACAAATTACAGCGCTGTGCGAATAATTGGGGTACATGAAGAGCAAATCCGCCAATATATCGATTTCCTTACGCTCAAACGCCTTAATAATATTCGTTAAGTTCATTTGATAGGTGGGCATGCGTACCTCTTCAAATCTACCGTTATAATGTTGTACGAATAACAGTATCAATTGATACAAATAACCGGCACTAGCGAGATTGCCATTATCGTCGGTGTAGTGATAAACCCGCGGCGCATTATTGCTAATGCTCGAGCGTAGCGCATAACCTTGAAAATTCTTCAAATGCGTTTTGTCGTAATACTCGCTGAGTTTGCGCAAAGCCACCATTTTTATGCGTGGAAAGGGTTGATATGTGTAGAGCGTTCGATTGACCAAGGCCAGCACGTTGACGAAGCCATTTCGCCAACAAAGTTGGAAAAGTGTGGTTATGCTCGAAATTTCCTCTGACTTGTCGTACACGAACAGCACATTCGTGTTGTGCAGTTTCCACAGTAGTTCCACCAAAAAATGCATCGTGCGATTGGTTTCGTTTGCTTGTAGAAAAACGATGGTTAATATATTTTCCGTTATGCGGCCCTTCAAGCTTAGCTGAGCCTGTTTTTCATAGTTAACGATTAATTTCGGTGTCGCAGCGCAGCGCGCATATAGTTCGTTGGCGTAAGCTTCGTTAATGTTCAAAAAAATATTTAATTCCAGTTGTAAATTTGAGGTTAAGTTATTAATGAGGTCGGAAACTGTTGCAGCAGGCACAATTTTGCAGAGTTGTAGTGTTGAAAAAAGTAGTAAAAATATTTTTTCAATTTGCATTTTGGAAAATTTTATTGTTAATATTATATTATTGAAATATTATTAAATTTTTTTTATAACTTTTTAATATTTATTAACTTCTTTCTTTTATTTTTCCG